ACCAGAATCTAAGTCTCTTACTCCCAGGTGGGCAGTAAAGAGGCATGGTTAAATATGTGAACTGACGAGTCAGCCAGTAAGCCGTGTTTGAACCTGTCAGTGGTCGTCATACCTTAGGAAAGTAACTGAACCCGTCAGGGCATCATTTTCATCTCTAAAATGGGAAATGATAATTCACATCTTATAGGGTTCTTGTAAGGTTTGATAGGCTATACCTGAACAGTTCTTGGCCCAAAATAAACACTCAGTGTTAGCTATTATTGCAGTTAAAACCACACATCACCATTGTAGGACTCTTAACCACTTAAAAAGCACTTTGATGTGCATCTCACTATGATTTGGAACCTCATTGCAATGCGGTGAAGTAACCAGAGCAGACATAACGCCTATTTTACCAATGAGGAAAATGAGCCCAGAGAGGTTCAGAAACTTTCCTGAGGTCTAAGCATACAGAGAGTTAGGGTTCTGAACCTCAACCGTGGGCTGCCTCTGCTGGTGACCTCTTTTAGGGCCATTAAAGAATGATGAGGCCAGCCTGAGATTCTGTAAATCACCATAAAATAGGTGCAAACTATGGCCTCATTAGGACCAAGACCTATTTTTATATAAAAAATAGCTCGGGAGCAGGAGGCAGAAGAACAAGGCCAAACAGTGGAGTGCCTCGTGCTTGCCGTCGTGTCCATCAGAATGCCTTCCTCCTGCCCACCTCCCCTGCCAGACGGAGCCTGGCACAAGGCAGGGCACTCAATGGCAGAACGTATGGGGGAGGACTAACAGTTCCCAGGGAAACCCAACGTGCAGGGACCATGTACTATCCCCTTATTTGCTATTCCACATCTTCCAGATACAGTGGAGGCTCCAGGAGGGTAGGGTCTGTTGTATTCATTTTCATTAAGCCAGTGCCAGGCACATAGCAGGAGCTCAAAAAGTATCATGACAGAAAATAATTTTTAAAGAACTAGACTGGGAATCAGATTAGGGATCCCGCCCTGGTTTTACTTCTAATTCACTGGGTCCTCAGGCAGCTCATCCCTTTTTCCTGGCCCTCTTTGGAACTTATCCCTATTTGTACAATATGGAGAGGACAGGACCAGATCAGTGGTTCTCAGCTCTGGTGGTAATTAGAATGAATCTCAGATGCTTAAAATAGTGGATAGACAGCCCCACCTCGGACCATTAAAAACAGAATCTCTGGGGTTGGGGCATTGGTAATTCTGATGTATAGCCAGGGCTGAGAACCTGAGCTAGATAGCTAGATGATCTCTCATTGCCTTTTAAGTTCTGCAGCCACATTTCTGCTCCTAAGCACAGACTGCCGGCGGCAGGCCTCTGGGGTCACACCTGCCCACCACAAACACAGGGGTCCCAATTCTAATGTCTGTTTTGCTGTACATTCACTGTGTGGGCTTATCTAAACCTCAGGCTATCAGCAGGGCTAGTGAGAGCTTTGGATGAGTCACACACGTGGAAGCACATTAAAAATGGAGCACCACAGGTCTCTTCACTGTCTCTGTAGCTTTACCTTTTCCAGAATGTCATATAGTTGGAATCATACAGTGTGGCTTTCAGACTGGCTTCTTTCACTAAGCAAAATGCATTTTAAGTTTTCTCCATGTCTCTGTGGCTTGAGAGCTCATTTATTTTTATCACTGAATAATATTCCATTGCATGGCCGTACCATAGTTTATCAGTTTACCTTGTGAAGGACTTCTTGGTTGCTTCCAGATTTTGGCGATTATGGATAAAGCTGCTGTAAACATTTATGTAGGTTTTTGCGTGGAGCTAAATTTTCAACTCATTTGGGTAAATACTAAGGACAGCGATTGTTGGATCCTATGGTAAGACTACATTTCACTTTGTAAGAAACTGCCCAACTGTCTTCTAAAGTGGCTGTACCATTTTGCATTCCCACCGGCAGTGAACAAGTTCTCGTTGCTCCACATCCTTGCCAGCATTTGGTGCTGTCAGTATTCTGGATTCTAGCCATCCTAATAGGTGTGTAGTGGCATTTCATTGTTGATTAAATTTCAATTCCCTGACAAAATACTGAACATCTTTTCATGTTTGTTAGACACCTGAATATCCTCTTTGGTGAGATGTTCATTCAGACCTTCTGCCCATTTTTCAATTGGGTTGTTTTCATATTGTTGAGTTCTTTGTATACTTTGGATACAAGTCCTTTATCTGATATATTTTGTAAATATTTCTCTGAGTCCTTATCTTTTTCATTAACAGTGAATTCCTAGAGCAGAAGTTTGTTTTCTAGATGATGTGCTCTTTATTTTTGGACCATAGAGAAGTTTTTAATGAAGTCCAGATTAATTTTTTTCTTTCATGGATTGTGCTTTTGATTTTGTATCTAAAATCTAATTGCCAAACCCAAGGCCACCAGATTTTCTCCTTTTTTATCTTCCAGAAGTATTATCTTTTTGAGTTTTACATTTAGGTCCATGATCCATTTTGAGTTAATTTTTGTGAATGGTGTAGTCAGTATTTGGATTCTTTTTTTTTTTTTTTACATGTGGATGTCCAGTTGTTCCAACACTACCTGTTGAAAAGATTATCCTTTGTACATTTAATTGACTTTGCTCCTTTGTCAAAGATCAGTTAACTATATCTGTGTGGATCTACTTCTGGGTTTTCTATTCATTCCATTGATCTCTCTCTCTATTCCCTTACTGAGACCACACTGTCTTGATTATTGTAGCTTTGTGATGTCTTGAAGTTGGGTAACATTAGTCCTCCGACTTTGTTGGTGTTGGCTCTTCTGAGTCTTTTGCCTCTATGTATAAACTTAAAAATCAACTTGTTGATATTCACAACATAACTTGCTGGGATTTTGATTGGGATGTCACTGAAGCTATAGATCAAGTTGGGAAGAAATGACATCTTAATGAGTCTTCCTATCCATGAGCATGGAATCATTCTTCATTTATTTTGATTTTCTGTAGTTTCTTCTACCAGAGTTTTGTAGCTTTCCTCGTATAGATCTTGTACATATTTTGTCAGATTTAATGGTAAGTACTTTTTTGGCGCGGTGGGGGGTGGTGGTGGTGCTGGTGAGGGCTGAATAGGTAGAGCATGGGATTTCTAGGGCAGTGAACTATTCTGTGTGATACTGTAATGGTGGATACATGACATTATGCATCTGTTAAAACCCACAGAACTGTATAATACAAAGAGTGAAACCTAATGTAAATTATGGACTTTAGTTAATAATAATGTATCAGTTTGGTTCATTAGTTGTAACATGTACCATACTAATGCAAGATAATATGGGATACTGAGCCAGGGAGAGAGGAGGTATCTGGGACTCTTCGTACTATCTGCTCAATTTTCTGTAAGCCTAAGACTGCTCTAAAAAATAAAGTCTATTAATTAAAAAAAAAAAAAAAAAAATAGAGAAAGGAGTCCCAACTCCAGATGAAAGGGAGCCCCTGGTGAAGTCTTCCAGTGGCTCCTCCCTGCTGACAGAATCAAGCCTACATCTCTTTCCAGGCACAGGGAGTCCTCCCCACTTGGAGTGCTTCAGTCCAGGGGCCTCCTCACCCTCTGTAGTGCAGCTGAGCTGAATCACTCAGGCTCTGTGAGGGGATCTGGGACTTTGCACTCCTCTCTTGGGCTGGAACACTGTCCCTTCCTTGCCGTGTCTGCAATAATTTGGAAAAAGCTTTTGCAGACTTGGGTTTGGGAACACAGAGGAAGGACACCAGCCCACAGCACCGGCATCATACGCCATGTATCGAGCTGCTGGCAGGACCTCCTTCTTGTCTGTCTCCTGCACTAAACTGCGCATATCCTGCTTGCCCCAGCCTGGTTCTTTCCAAATGTACAAACAGGAGAATCAAAAAATATCAGTAGTGATAGTAGGAAAAAAATTAATAAAAGTTTACAATAAAGTATGTAAAAATGAAAAAAATATACATCAGTACTGAACCACAGTTCCCAAACTGTGCATCAGGGCACCCTAGGGTGCCACAGCAAATCCACAGGGGGCACAGTAGGATATTTTAAATTTGAGATATTCAACATCTGTTGGCTACTGAGAGAACTCCTATCTCACAGTTTCACCATTAGGTTGCACGACATTCCTTCGATTATGTTATCTTTGAGAAAGGTTTTTAGTGGTTGTTATGATAAAAAGCAAATGCAAGTCAGTGTGGAACAGGAAATGAGGGTGTTTGCTTTCCAATCTGATTAGAAAGTCTGACAAGTTTTTCAGCGCCCAACAAGCACACAGATCCCATTAGTTACTGTAGTTATTTAAGAAATAAATAAAAGTATTGTTTCTTCTAATTTATTTGTATTATTTTCTTGAATGACGACTGACTTGGTAGGACATAAATTCTTATTAAATGACTTGGGTTTAACTATTTAATAAACTGAACTATGAGGTATTTCTTTTGGCTTAGGGACTCCATGAAAAAATTACTAACGGTGGGGTGAGTGCTGTGAGCTGAGAAAGTCTGGGAACCTTTGGTCTAAGAAATCTCCTAATCTAGGACACATCAAAAAACTACAGGTTGTGAAATCAATTTAGTGGGTTATAACCGGCACTGTTTTTCTCCTTAATAAAATAGAATGGTAAATAGAACACATTGCATGTAGCAAGGGTATTATTGTATAAAACTTATGTTCATTATATACATACAAATAAGCATAGGTATCTTGGGTCACAATTTAAAATGTATATGTCTTATTTGGGTTCTGTTTTGAAACTCTGAAAAACTACTAAGACCCCAACCTCCTCATTTTACAGATGAGAAAAGAGCCCGGAGGGTGAAAGCTGATTCTTACACGCCCAGCCACCAGGGCCGGGCTCTGCACTCAGCCCTGCTGGGCTGGGTGGCCACTGCTCACAGGGCTCTTTCTAAGGCAGGACTTACTCTGCCTAGTAGAGATGTGGTTACTCAAAGACACAGCTACAGAGGTCAGGGATCAGGTACCCTCACTTTGGTCCCAAGACCCTTTTGCACCCCACAAACGCCACCAGCCACACCTAGAACAAAACGGTTTTAATCAATTGCGTCACCCTCACTCTCCTGGGAGCGGAGCAACAAAAAGGCTCGGCTCCTGCCCCCAGAGGACAGTAAGGCTTATGTGTCTCTCCACACTGCAGGGCTCGGCTGGACAGGCAAGGGGTGGGGGGGTAGGGGGGGCAGGGAGGGAGGAAATGACTGGCAGCTGGAACACAGGAAAGCAAAGGGGCCCCTGCTGGTTCTTGGGCCCTAGGGCCCAGCCCCAATACTCCGGCTCTCCCCTCCCTGGCTGGAGAAAGGTCATGGAGAAGAGACAGGGGAGCAAGTCCCAGCAGCAGGAGAAGCAGCAGCAGCTGTTTCCTTCACCAATAAATATACTTCATTACCAAGCTAGAGAGAGGGGTGGGAAGAGGGACTGGGGTGGGGAGGAAGGGGGAGAAGCTGCCACCTGTGTTGCTGGGATTAAAGCAATGAAGAGATGGTGCCAGACCCCCCACCACTATCCTCACCCCCCTTTCTTCTTAAAACTGTGAAAAAGCTTTTAACATGGCCCTCGTGTCTCCAGGGCTGCTCTGAAGCCTGACTGAGAGGAGGCACCTGGCAGAGACAGGGGCGGAAGGAAGGAGGGAGGGATTGAGGGAGGGAGAAAAAGAAGAAGGGAGGCTGCTTCTCTCCAGAGGCTGCAGCTGGAGGGCTGGAGCCTCGTAAGCACTGGGGGGGGGGAGGAGGAACCGACTACCAGGAGCAGCTCCTGAGCTGAGAGTCACGGGGGCAGAGAGGGGGAGGCTTGGTGACTGGTGGGGTGACCGCTGCATCCAGTGTAAAGCTTGGGGCTGCTGAGGAGGGAGGGGGCTGAGTTAGGGACTTTCCCATCTAAGTGGCTCAGGAGACTCACCCTCCTCCCCCCAGAGCAGCAGGGGACAGAGAAAAGCCATCACTTCTTTGGTCTTTGTGGCGGCTCTGCATGTGGGTGAGTAGGAGGGCAGAAAGGGCGAGAAGGGCCCTTAGCAGGGAGCGCCACCTCAGCAAGAGCAGGCCTGGCTGGGAGCTCTGGCAGAAAGGTCACAGTGAGGCCAGGAGCGCCTGAGAAAGGAGAGTGGCCGTAGTCCGTAGTCCGGAAGGGCTGGCATGGGTGGGTGGGGTACGGTGCGGTGCCCCACCTTCTGCCAGCACCCTTGGGAGAGGCTGAGCCCCCAGAGGTGACCAGGAAGAGCAGGTTCAGGGTGAGGATGCTCCACCGCAACCAGGCAGTGGCCTGGCCTGGCCTGGCCTGGCCACTCCAGGGCGCCCATCCTTCCTTCTGCTTCCACCCCGACACAGTGGCTTTGGAGGGAGGGTGGGACTCCAGCCTTTTTCAGAACCTTCCCTGAAGAGCACAGGGGAGCTAGCCTTGCCAGTCACAGGTCAAGAGTAGCCACAGGTCAAGGCTAGCCCTTTGGACTGGGAGTTCCACTCCCCTTCCTGCTGCAAACTGAAGGGTAGGGCAGTCCTTGAGGACAGCTTCAACCCTTGCCTCCCCACCGGGGCAGGCCAGAGCCCTTTGGGGACCTGGAAGCAGGAGGTGGGGGGCATGCGGAGGGGCTTCCCCTCCTGTTCTTCTGCTCAGGGCTGGGGTCAGTCAAGGGGCAATCTGCCTAAAAGTCTGAAAGCCAGCGAGTTGTAGCAACCCCCACCCCCAATGCCAAACTAACAAACAAAACGGGAAATGAAAAAAAATGAGGTGGGGGGAAGACAAACCAAAACAGAACCCCCTGACCTCCTGCCCAGGGTGGAGGGTCCGGCCGGTACGAGGGGCTGGGGACGAGGCCAGGAGCGTCTAGCTGGGCCGGCACTGAACCTGGCCCTCGGAGCTGTCCTCGTCGTCAGAGGCCCCAGCGCCCCCGCTGCTCAGGCCCGTGATCCGGTAGCCCATGTTGAGCAGCATCACCTCCAGTGGGTCTGCGTTCATGCGCCGCTGGTTGGCCTGCGAAGCGCCCTCCATGTCTTCCACGACTCGGCCTGTGAGGTCTTCGCTCTGTCGGGGAAGGGACACATGTGCAGGGGACACGCACGGATGGAACTACAAACGTGGAGGGGGCTGTGCACACAGGACATGTGTGGGTTTATATCGGTTTGTCCATATGTGTACAAGGATAGAGAGAACACGTACTGGGATATGTATGGGACACACACACATGACATGTTGGGGAACCACATGCCACATGGGTTATATATATGGGGGGCCCCATGTGGTAATACATATTGGGAGGGGACACAACATAGTGGAATACATACTTGCACATGCTAGGATAGATAATTAGGGGGATACACACACCAGGGTATATATGGGGGGGCCTACACTTGAAAAATGATGGGCACATACCAGGTCATCAGGACCTGTACACAGGGAATACATACATGCACATTATGTGACGGAGGGCACACACCAGCCTATGTGGGGCACACATACTGGATACCTGCGGTGGGGGGTGCACACACGACTCCCCCACCCCACTGTCAGCTGTTGCCGCTCCCAACAGTCATTCCTTTATCCTTCTTTTCCTCACCCCTCAAAGAAGGGCCCTGTAGGCGCTCTCTTTAAAATTTGCAGCAAATTGCCTTTGGAATTAGATACACCCCTTGCCTTCTGTTTTGCCATCTGGGAAGAGGCAGGAGGTGGGGCAGAGGGCACAGGAGGCCTCGGGCTGGCCCACCTGGTTACCCACCCTGGGAGAGGAAGGGACTCCACTGTCCTAAATGTCCCTGTGGAACAAACACTTCATAGGTATCACTTCTTTGGTCCTCAAAGCAACCTTTTATAATCCAATGTAGAGATGATAAAAACCTGAGTTGGAGATGGTTTTAAGTCTCTTAGGCAGTGAATGAAGGGACCAGATTCAAATTTCAGCCCACCAGACTCCAAAGCCTGCATACTTTCCATGTGACAGAGGGACCAGCCTCTGCACAGCTTCTGGGGTGCACGCCACAGAGGGGCAGGGGACCTAGGGAGCCTAAGGCCCCGTTCTCGTTCCGTGTGCTAGAGCTGGTCTGGTTCCGTGCTTGCCTTCCTGCACCCCTGTCCTTGGTTACTGTGTCCTGTATGAGATGCATCTTCATAGCTTGCTTAAAAGAAGCCCCTTGAAGGCAGAAGCCATCTCTTGTCCCCAAAATGGCCCACTGCACTTGGAACTTTCAGAACATGATGGCTCCAGCCTTGACATAGTCTCGGGCCCTCAAGTGAGAGCTCGTTAGCAGCTCACGTTAGCAGCTTCAACCCTCCGTGGGACTCATGTCCCTTCCAGATGCTCACAGGCTGGGCTGGAGGCCCTGTGCAGGGTCCGCCCCTATCCTCCCCGCTGTCTGGCTTCTGCCACCTCATCTGCACCCTCACCTCTGGCCGGGGATTCCAGAGCCGCACAACTGGGTCGATGCCGCTGGTGGCTAGGAAGCAGTAGCTGGGGTGTGGCTGCAGGCAGTTGACGATGGACTCGTCCCCCTGGAGCACGCGGACCAGGTTGGTGGTCTCCTTTTCCCAGATGAAGAAGGAGCCATCGTCAGAGCCACTGACGATGTACTGAGCGTTGCTGGCAGGGGGGCAAAGGGCAGGGAGGTCAGGTGGGGTACTGCCCGACAGCCTCAAGCAGAGGCTGTGTGGCTTAGGGCAAGGGGGAGCAGAACAATCTGGAACCACTCAGCCTCCCACACTCAGGGGTCTCCAGGTGACTCCAGTTGACTCTGCAGTGGTCTTCACATTACAGAGCTGTGGTCACTGTTTGACCGTTCTCTTAAATTCCGGGTCAGGCACTGCCTGGGTCCCTCTAAGACACTCACCCCCAAAGCACACCCTGAGCTCCCTGGGTGCCAGATTGGCTCTTGTGTCTCTCAGGTCTCTGGGAACACCCCTGTCTAAGCCTTCGCTCAGTGGTCCTAGCCTTCCTGGATCCAGACCCCCAAATCCTACAGCACATCTGCCCTCACACACCGATGACATTCAGGGGGATCTTGGTGGAGAGATTCTCAATCCACGTTCACGTGTCTTACCGACCCAAAGAAAGTTCGACATCTACAAGGGAGGGTTGGGGCGGGGGG